TGGGTGGCTCAGTTGGTTGAGTGTCCGACTCTTGGTTTTTGCTCAGGTCATGATCTGGGGATCACAGGATCGAGCCTGCATGGGGCCCTGGACTCAGCGAGGAGTTTGCTTCTCTCCCCCCCCACCCCCAATAAATAAACAAATAAATAAAATAAAATCTTTAAAAAATAATCACACACGCACTACATTAATGCACATGAGTTGTTTGGAATTTATTGTGCTTGAAGAGTAGTCTTATTTTAGAAGTTTATGTGTACTATGAAGCAATTAATCACACGTGAAAAAGACCCAGAAGGGCCTCAGATAAGTCACTAAAATCTTTCCAGAAAATTGAGGTGTTTTGCTCTCCAAATGACTTCCCTTTATATTCTTGATTCTTATACATGACTTCAAATAGGTTTACTTCCCAAGTAGTTACTTACGAAGAACTAGAGTGGAGCTATCTATGAAGTGTTCTTATCCACGTAGCAGGGTATATCAGTGATAGAAGCCATACAGATGATTATACGACATGACATAATTGTAGAAGGAGAGAGTATTGAAACGCACCTTAGGTGCCGAGTAAGAGATTTTGATGGGAATAAAATTAAAGAAATATCATCACACACATATTTATCTAAAAGTTATAGAAAATTTCTAAACTAGGCTGTAATAAAAAATATTTATTACACACCATTCAAAGGGTGGATGGTCAAATAGAAGATAAAAAGTACAATGTTCTAAAATGTAATAAGGTGTTTCTTCATATATTTCACTGATGTTACTATGTTTCTAGGGACCCTTGAGAGAAATTGTAGTAGCCTAATGGTAAATTTGACTTAAGGTTCTGGAAGTGTAGCCCCAACAGTGGTGGGTTCCCAGTGTCACGTCAGAGCTGTGCCAGACTGAGGATTAGGGAGCCGTGCCTGGTCGGTGGCTGCCAACAAGGAATAGCTGCAGGGAATGTTGTTGGGTGGGGAAGTCTGAGCTTGCTCCTTTATTGGCCAAACCCTCTATGACGTTTCAGGGCAGCCCCGAGTATGTTCTAAGGTAATTGTTTATCTCCCCTATTTAGGACAAGACCAAGATAATAATTATCTTTTTATTCTCAAAGCACGTCAAAAAGTAGACTCGAGATATATTTGTTTGATAAGTAAGTGTAATTTATTCCCATCCAGGTTGATTATCCGTGCTATAATATTCTTACTAAGTACAATAGTGCTATTATTCGTCAGAGTCCCCAAATTTATTTAAATTATTTTTGCCTAGATTTTTTTTCAAATCCTACCTAATTGTTTGCCTCTTAAACTTATGGGCCACTGTTAATTTGCATAGTTGTTTCAAATCAAATGCTATGTCCCATATCTTGCATTTACTCAGTTATTCACTGCTGATGTCTAAATCAGAGAAGTGAAAAGGGCAATTGTTTAGTGCTTTTTAAAGTCCCTGCCCAAGATCAGTAGGGAAATCCCATTAGCTCCATTCATCGCATTTCTCATAAATCTAAAAGGAAAGCAAGTATCCAAAGCCTTATTCTTTAATAGTTCTTATTTGTAAAACCTTGACAGGGCTTTATTCTAAATTGCTTCCAAATTACATGAAGAATACTGAGAAATATGATGGTTAGTGAATCGTGATAGTTTCAGTTATCAAATAAATAACCAGAAGAGTAAAAGGGGACTTAATCTGAAAGCAAACAGAATGATGGGCTACGATGAGGCAAAAAGAACAGAGCTGTGGCATTCTTCAACTACCATCTGGCTCAATCCTCTTTAAGTGGGCAAGCTGAAGAGTCTTTTATTCGGGCCCCTAAAACTTCTTCAAAAGGAGCAGTATTTAAATATTAGTATTTTCATCTAGTAACCCCCCCCCCAAAAAAAAAACCCCAAACAAATCAATCCTTTTTGTAGCCAAAAAGGAGTGTTTAAGAAAATAATGGGTAATCTCCTGGCTAAACATGAGGGCACAGGGTAACCTGTGGGTGGGAGGTTGGCTGCAGGGGCCTGGTGGCCATTCCCCAGCTTGAGGGACTTCAGCTCTGTCACTTTATGGTTAGAGTGACTTATTAAAGTTGTCATTATTGTTTGAAATTAGGCAAGAGGTGTAAAAATAAGGACTTCATTAGGAAAAAATGTACCTGTTAATTTCTAGTACCTTATTTCATCAAAAGGAAACAATAATGTAGTGTTGCCATATAGGATAATTGAGGCAAGTGGATACAAGAGAATTATCATCTATGGTTCAAATTGTGCTTTTGTGAAATGGGGACCTGTTTCATCACTTTCGAACAGACCCCTGACAATTGCTGTTTTTGTCTATTAAGTCATGGATTTTCACATGAAACTCTGAGAGGCTTTTATTTTGTTTTCTTGAGAAGGTGTGTAAAAACTGTAAGCCGAGTGAATAGGAGCCCGCTACTTGTCTTCGGTAAGGATGCTTTCAAGAAGGTATTTTAGCATTCTCTGTGGTTTAAAAGACAAAACCAAGTCCTGCCGGCTTTGTGTTGTGCTTCTCCTTCAGACTGCAGTGCCTTCTGTCTGCTTTAGGGTGTGGCATCTGCCATTGGGGAGGAGAAACTGGCATGTGTTGGCTTTTATAGCAGGCTGATTTCATTGTGCTGGGGGCCTCTATTTCAGAGCCTCTTGGTTCCAATCTTCTAGTTGACTTGCTCAAACAAACGGGATTAAAAGAGATTTTGACTTTCTATACCTAATTTTTTATCTTTAGTTCCATGATTTTTGTATATGAAAAATATTTTTAAGAAAAGGGCCAGAGCTGAACTTGGTGACTCATTTTCCCTTTCAGGATTAGTTGTGAAAATAAGCCACAAGATATAGCTACACCTGCTTAAATTGACTTTGACATATTTCATCAGTTTGGAAAAATGCTTTCTTATGATTATATGTACATATTTAGTTTGGGTCTAAATATCTAAAAGCATAAATATGTAATTGATTTTAGAATATATGTGTAAACACACAAAACGGACATATATTTATATTTGCATATGAAAAACTTCAAAAATTCAACTTTTGTGGTGTACTGCGTATAATTAGTATGTATTTGAATGCATAAAGGGAGAAAATCCAGGAGAAAATGTCAAAAAGGCACACTAACAAAGATGTAGTATTCTCTTGGCAAAAACTGATGAATGGTTTGGCATGAATTCATCTTACAGTTCTGTAATTCTCTCTTACACACAATGATACAACCCCTGTTTTCCAGTTGTTTGCATAGAATTGCAATTTGTTGTCTGTACACTCTATAATGACCCTTGGGTGTGCACCTGATTCCCCTCCCCCACCAATTAGTCACCAGTTTTTCCCACCTATCTTTTTCTATTTAGTCATTAGCATATTTGCACTTGCTCAAGCAAATAAAAATAACCACTGCAGTGAAAATAAACTAATCTTTATTAAAAAAAGCCGAAGAATGAAATGATTTTAGAAAACTATATTCCACTAAAATCATATATATTATTTCAGCTAGTGTGACCTCTTGAAAGTTCCAGTTTCAAATGCTTTCTCTCCATGTAAACGAGTTCCATACTAGTGCAAGTGGAGGCATTGCTTAGGTTAAGAAAACCTGCTTGAAGATATTCAGAAGGTTACTAGGTGACAAATTAACAATAATAAAAACATTTAAAACACCATAAAGTGACAAAATAGAGTATTTTTAAAAGAACAAAGTCTGAAACATTTCTAAGATTAGATTCGACCAACTTGCATTACTATTGGTCTTATATTTATTAAATACGTATTTCCTTTTAGTTTTGTTTCACATTGCTTAGAAACGAACTCATATCAAGAGGGTTAACTGTGCACATTAACCTCTGAAATATGATGAAAGGCGTCGTATAGATTTATGAAGACACGAGCTAAACTTCAGCTGTCACTATTATGGCACCAACAGTTACATTTCCATGTGCAAGTTGGAGCATAACACACCAGGCTACTTATTTGAAGACTTTCCCTTTAGAGAGAGGACAAGAGCATTGTAAGAAAAATGCTCCTCTGGGAATGCTTTTGCGTCTTCATTGATAAGCCTACACGCATATATGAGGTGCCTTAAAAAATAGTTACATAAACATCATCTTTGGGGCAGGTGCAGCCAGCCTCAGCACTTACTGAGTACTTGCTGTGTACAGGGCACCACGCTGCCCGAAGGCGGCTAACCTTCCCTTAAACTCTTTCCTAATTTCGCAGTTTGAAGAAGTTGTGGGAATTACGCTGATGGCCCCAAATCAAGGCAGAGAGGCCAACATTCTGAAAAATTACATAACTCCTGGGAAAGGCAGTGCTTTTGCGCACAGATTGCCCAAATATTTTCTTTCTCCGTCGGCTCCTCCAAACCTCTGAGGCCAACAGACAACTTTGTTCCCCTGCCCTTCTCCCTCTTTTGTCTGCTCGTCAGACTCGTTTTCCACCTTTGTATCGTTCCTTTTAGACGTGAAAACAAACACGCGAACGGCCGGTTGGCAAGGAGACGAGGCACGAGGGGACAGTGCGGCCTCGCGTCGCCCCACGCCGCCGCGCTCCGGGCGCCTGCGGAGGCAGCTCGAGCCCCCGGCCCGGGGCCGCCGGCTGCCCGCGAGGCTGCGCCCGGCCGGGCGGGCGGGCGGCGGCGGCGGCGGCGGCGGCCCGCGCCGAGTCCAGTCCGCGTTTTGCGAGTGCACACGAGTAATCAGAGCGAAGTGGATAATAGTTGCTCGGGCTCGCTCGGCTCCCTCTCACGCCGTGCTGGGCCCGGCAGGCTCAGTCAGTCGTGTATTTACCCATATCCGGGTGAGAGAGGAAAAGAGAAAAGTTTCATTTAAACCTGAACTAAAACTTTCACCGTGAAATCACACAGCGGGAACAGGCCCAGACCGTAAGGCGTGACTCCCGGTTCGGCTCCGGCGGGGCCTGTGGAGGGGGAGGGGGCTCGCTCGATTCCCGTCGGGGCGTGTGGATGCGCACAGGAGGGGCCGCTGACTGAAAAGTGGGTTTTATTGTCTCCCCCCGCCCCCCGCCCGGCCTCGCCACGCCGCGGCGATCATGGCCGCGCGGGCAGCAGCGGCGGCGGCGGCGGCGGCGCGGGCGCGGGCGGGCGGCGGCGAGCGGCGGGCGCCCCCCGGGCCGCGGCCGGCGCCCGGGGCCCGGGACCTAGAGGCGGGGGCGCGCGGCGCGGCGGCGGCACCGGGACCCATGCTGGGGGGCGGCGGCGACGGCGGCGGCCTGAATAATGTGCACCACCACCCCCTGCACCCCCGTCACGAACTGAACATGGCCCATAACGCGAGCACGGCGGCCGCCGCCGCCGCCGCCGCCAGCACCAACAGCGCCAAGAGCGGCGGCTCCGAGGCGACTCTCAAGGAGGGTGGAAGCGCCGCCGCGCTGTCCTCCTCCTCCTCCGCGGCGGCGGCGTCCTCCTCTTCCTCCTCGTCGGGCCCGGGCTCGGCCATGGAGACGGGGCTGCTCCCCAACCACAAACTGAAAACCGTTGGCGAAGCCCCCGCCGCACCGCCCCACCAGCAGCACCACCACCACCACCATGCCCACCACCACCACCACCATGCCCACCACCTCCACCACCACCACCACGCACTACAGCAGCAGCTAAACCAGTTCCAGCAGCAGCAGCAGCAACAGCAGCAGCAGCAGCAGCAGCAGCAGCAGCCGCCGCCGCCGCCGCCGCAGCAACATCCCATTTCCAACAACAGCAGCCTCGGCGGCGCGGGCGGCGGCGCGGCTCAGCCCGGTCCCGACATGGAGCAGCCGCAACATGGAGGCGCCAAGGACAGTGCCGCGGGCAGCCAGGCCGACCCCCCGGGCCAGCCTCTGCTGAGCAAGCCGGGCGACGAGGACGACGCGCCGCCCAAGATGGGGGAGCCGGCGGGCGGCCGGTTCGAGCCCCCGGGCCTGGGCGCCCTGGGCGCGCAGCAGCCGCCGGTCGCCGTGCCCGGGGGCGGCGGCGGCGGTGGCGGCGGCGGCGGCGGCCCGGCGGCCGTCGCGGAGTTTAATAATTACTATGGCAGCGCTGCCCCTGCTAGCGGCGGCCCCGGCGGCCGCACTGGGCCTTGCTTTGATCAACATGGCGGACAACAAAGCCCCGGGATGGGGATGATGCACTCCGCCTCAGCCGCCGCCGGAGCCCCCAACAGCATGGACCCCCTGCAGAACTCCCACGAAGGGTACCCCAACAGCCAGTACAACCATTATCCGGGCTACAGCCGGCCCAGCGCGGGCGGCGGCGGCGGCGGCGGCGGCGGCGGCGGCGGCGGCGGCGGAGGAGGAGGAGGCAGCGGAGGAGGAGGAGGAGGAGGAGGAGCAGGAGCGGGAGCGGGAGCTGTGGCGGCGGCGGCCGCGGCGGCGGCAGCAGCAGCAGGAGGCGGCGGCGGCGGCGGCGGCTATGGGGGCTCGTCCTCGGGGTACGGGGTGCTGAGCTCCCCCCGGCAGCAGGGCGGCGGCATGATGATGGGCCCCGGGGGCGGCGGGGCCGCGAGCCTCAGCAAGGCGGCCGCCGGCGCGGCGGCTGGGGGCTTCCAGCGCTTCGCCGGGCAGAACCAGCACCCGTCGGGGGCCACCCCGACCCTCAACCAGCTGCTCACCTCGCCCAGCCCCATGATGAGGAGCTACGGCGGCAGCTACCCCGACTACAGCAGCCCCAGCGCGCCGCCGCCGCCGTCGCAGCCCCAGTCCCAGGCGGCGGCGGCGGCGGCGGGGGCGGCGGCGGGCGGCCAGCAGGCGGCCGCGGGCATGGGCTTGGGCAAGGACATGGGCGCCCAGTACGCCGCTGCCAGCCCGGCCTGGGCGGCCGCGCAACAAAGGAGCCACCCGGCGATGAGCCCCGGCACCCCCGGCCCGACCATGGGCAGATCCCAGGTAACCCCCGCGCCGGCCGGGCCTGCTTCCGCCGCGGCGGCCTCGCCGCGCGCCTCGAGCCCTAGTTTCTTTCTTTCCGCGTACTTTTTCTGCGTCTTCTGCCGGGGGGAGGCGGGGGCGAGGCGCCCAAAGCCATTTTAACTCGCGGCTGCCTCCCTCGGAGGCTGGGGAGCGCGCGGCGTCCGACTGCGCGGCCCGGGGCCCGGGGCCCGGGGGCCCGGCGAGAGGGTCGCGCCGAGGACCGGGACGCGCGCTGGGATGGCCGGCCGCCGAGCACCCCCGCCTCGCCACCCCACCCCGGGCGCGGAGCTGCGCGTCCGGGGCCGGGGACTGCGCCGCGAGGAAGCGGTGTGGGCGCTGGGAACGGCTCGGGCGGCTTTTGTAACAAAATCGGCGCTCCGGGCCGGGCCGGTCTGGGGAGCAATATTGACTCCGTCTTCTCGGTTAGCGCCAGCAATAAGCTTTAACCGGGAAAAGAATGAGGAACTTTGTCCTACCTCCAGCCACACCGCGTTCCCTCTTAGCCTGCAAGGTGAAGGCAGGAAAAATAGGTTAGCTTTGTGGCAACCGAGTGTGTTTTTCGTAGTTTTGCCCGGCTATTCAGACATCCTCGATGCGAGCTGTGAGTTGGAATGCTTCGTAGCGAAAATAATACCCCAATTTACAACGACGTGGAGGTGAAATATTCTAAAATAAACCGATTCATTCCTGAGAATAGCCAGGAAATCCATTATTTGGCTTATAGGCTGCTTGAAGGGAGTCACCTTCAACAGATAGGCTGTGTTAAAGGAACGCGTTCCGGTTAAATTGAACTTATTTTGATCATGGGCCAGGCATACATTTTATTCAGCAAGTCCAGGAAAATAGCAGGCCAGTGAAAATTGATCTTTTTGGATCGGATTTATTTGGATTTTCTTTAATTTGCTGTCACCCAGGTCCTACAGCGTTATTAGGAAGTGTCCTGCACTCTTGCTGTTTCTTGCTCGTAGGCTGAGCCTAAAGACTGACTTGATCTCCTTTGCAAGGTTTGGAATTTGAATTGTGGAGGTAAACTGGCTGTAATAGTCTCCAGACAGCTGCCTCTGAGTTGACATCTAATCTGCCATCTGATTGGCTCCTCTCTCACCATTGGGCATTTAGCACTGCTGATGTAAATAGAAGTGCTGAGCAGTAGTCACAAAAATTCTTGCCACAAATAATAACTGAGCTCTATTACAAGCAGATGTAAGGTTGGATATTATTTAAAGCTTAAGTTATTATGAATCAGAGTTATTAATAAGAGGATTAAATACTAAAATCGTTACGCTGGTGTCCAGTACGTTGGGCATTTACAAAATTCAGATCTTTGACAGTCTTAATGTGGACACTGCATATATCACGGACTTTGATTGTAGGATGAGGATATGGCAATTGAAAAATAATTAAACCAAGAATTTTACCAATTTTTGGATTTGTAAAGCTTTCCTGAAAGTGCCCTTTACAGATTAAACTATGCAAAAAATGAATTGTCAGCACATGTAGTTTAAATTTAAAAATTATAACGTTAAAAATTTCCAGGTTCTGAGGTGCAACAGTATCTTTCAGTGATACTTAATTAACTATATAACAAGATTAAAGCTATATTTTTTTAGTAACGTGTGTTTTAACAATTCTGGTCGTTTAAAGATGTTTGTGGATGAGGAATTGTAGTTAAATTGACGTAATATTTAAAAAATCACGAAGTGAGGAAACTAATTTTGTAGACAACAATCAAAGGGAAAAAATGGATAATCTTGTGAAATACTAAAAATTATTTTATTTTTGCTTCTGATTTGGAAATATAGAAATGCTCTAAGGAATTTTTTTTTCTGTTTGATTATTTTGTTAGGTTCGGTGATGTGAGCCTTCTTTGAAGTGCTTACACATGTATTAGGGAAACTATCACATGCAAGCTGTGCTGGGTGTGTTTCTTCCAAATAATCTTTCTCTCGTAGACATCTTAAATGCTGTGAAAGTTTTTAAAATTCTCATTTGTTAGGAAGGAACTAACAGTGGTTGTAATATATGTTTTTACTCAGCTTATTTATTTCAGGAAGATGTATTTTAATAATTACCATATCTTAGAGGAGAGACGTGTCAGAATGAATACTGGACTGAATTTAATAGATAATCCTGTGAATCCCTAGCTGAGGACGTTAGTGTTCACTGCTTTCAAATCTTTAGTTACTGGAGTTTTACTTTTAATGAAAATATGTTTTCCTACTCTTGATAGAAAATTTGTGATATCAGTTTTTATCTTTGATTCACACAAGTAAAAACAGAGAAGCCTTATGTAAATAAACCCATGTAATTTTAAAAAGATTTACTTTGTCAGCTTGCTTTTAAAGGAATAGTTTAAAATTCACATCTTTGTTAAACTAGAACGGAAGGATGATAGAGGCAGATGGAGGTCCTTGTTACTTTACAGTATTATTTCTTAATGGTACCAATCATTTTAAGTATTTTGTTTTCTTGGAATGAGAGTGAATCCATTATGTCCTCATTGTGACCCTTGGGAATAGCTTTTTTATTTTTGAGGGGGAAGAAAAATGCTGGGCATATGACCTAGATTCACAGATTTCTTTTAGGTACTTTGCCGTTTAACGTGTGGAATGTATCTTTTTTATATTTTTTCCTTTTTGGAAGGCTAGTTTTTATTTAGTATTTGTTGTGATGATTATGATAAGAAATAGTTAAATTTGTCCAAAATTCTAATTTACTATGTAATTATAGGCCATAAAGTACTATTAAATCACATTGTTAAATGATGAAATTTTCTTGTGGCTTTAGCACATTTAGTTTCATTTTTGATTTTAGGAATGGTTTATATTGGGTGGCAAATGTTTTTATAATTGGAAACAAAATACATGTGTATATTGTATTGGGGGGGTCTTTTTAAAAAGTGAAATAAGCCATTTTATGATACAGTTTGTTACTGGCTTTTTCTAAGATAAAGTAGATAGAGTAGTCTCAAAAGGAGTACTGAGGTCTACTCACGTAACCAAGATTTTATAATGTCCATATTTGTGCTGAATTCCATTAATGCTATTTTAACCTTAGTTTTATAGAATATAATACAATGTAATAAAAAGAGCCTTATTTACCATTAAAAGAAGTGACTAGCTGGCTTACAAAGCAGGAAGTTACAGACTGGTTCCTGATTACCTTAAAATTTGTATAAGATATATTATAGCATAACATCATTCCCCACTTCCCCTCCCAATGAAATTTTACCCTGTCTAATGTTTTAAATCTTGTAAAGAAATTATTGTGCCCTAAATTGATATATTTGCTGAGATATGGCTGGCTGGCTGGCTGCTCTGTCGTCAGAGAAGGTGGAATTGGCAACTGTGGTTATAGAAAAGGCCTATCATTAAAAAAACAAAACAAAACAAAATATAACAAAAATGTTTAGTCTTCTGCTTTCCTAGGTTACCTGGAATGAAATACATGGCTTAAGATTGTTTTCTTTGGATATCCTCAATTCTGTGTACTTACTTTTGACTTTTTTTTTTTAAAGATCACTACTCTTTAAGACAGCTATCACTTCAATTTATGTTTATATTTAAACACAGAATTGATAAGTATGTTCCAGGGAACATCGTATTCTTACTTTGGGCCTATAGTGAGAAACCTTAACCCCCTTTTTTCTTTGGTTTTACTTTTTATCTGTATTTAGGAATGGATTTTTGGCAGGGCTTTTTCTACTTGTTCCATTTTTCCCGGCATCATATTGTATCAGAAATATCACAGGTGTGTTGTGGAGATGGAAATAATCCAAGTCACCCTTAGACACTTACACTAATGTACTTTCCCTCTAACTATCATGTTCTTTCATTAGGATTGAGAGAATAACATCTTCACTCTGGTATAAAAATAGTATTAATTCTGGTTTGAGGACCAATTCTGAAAATGTAAGACTGTGTGGAGGAAGACTCATAAGTTCATTTGGTAATTTTATCAGACACACATTTTAAAGAAAACAGGTGTAAGAGAATGGGGTCGAGTTTTCAGTTCTATTTCTTATTAATGGACTTTATTACTTTATAATTTGGGGCACAGTATATCTTTAAAAAATGGCTTCTGATGTAATAGGTACTTACTTATTTCTGTAGGATAAATACCAATATGACAGGCAAACTGGAAAGATGATCATTTCGCTTACTTATACCCTGTTCTCTCATAGGAAGAGAGTGGTTTGATTTAAAATTTGTTAGGAGTCTCTGAAATTTTATTTATTTTGAAGACGGATTTGGACATGTAAATTTTGGATATAATGCACTGGGAACTATACTAGCTTTTGCCCAGTGCCCTAAATTTAGAGGTTTTTCTCACTACAAGAATGACACTGCTCAGTTAAAAGATCTGTGTACTTTGATCCATCATTGAGGAAAAGGAGCTAATAATTTACTTGTGTCACTTTCATTTTGGCCCGTGTGTAGATTTGTAAATTTGAGGCTTATATTTATATTTGAAAGAACTGTTGTGTATCACTTAAGAACAGATTTATGGAGGCTCACAAGGAATGTTAATAAAACTCAAATTCCTTTTTTTTTTTTTTTTTTGCAGTAATTAGATTTTCAAAGTGGATGTTACAAAATTTTGTACTTACCGGCCACTTCCACGTCCTAGGCCTCTTTGGAACTGGATAGTTGTTGGTCTCTCTGGCCTTTTCTGAGGTGTCTTTCTTCGTCAGGAGATGTGTGCAGATTCTCTGTGGATATGCAGAGTAGAGCCACGTACTTGCTGTGTGTGTGCACGTGCGTGTGCATGTGCTTGAGGCTGAGGGATCCCTATTTGACTTCATGTGTCTGCGGGGAGAAGTAAGTACGAGGCACAACTGCTTATCCCCCAGGGGTGTGTATATATATCATAGATGGAGAACTGTCACACAATATAGCTTTTTACAGTTTGGAGGCTATTTATACAAGACTAAGTGGCTCTTTTTGGTTTAATTGGGTGATTGAGTGAATTAATTTTGA